ATTCACCGTCATATTAGTTAGTTTTCAGTGAACCTATCACATGTATTTACAGATTGTACATCAACATGAGTTCAATCATAACTGGCGATCATGGACTATAAACAGATTTCTTACTTATCCACCGCTATAATTGTAGCCTTTTCGGACAAATGAATAAGGAAGCACTGAAAAATCGCAAGTGACACTTGTGTATTACATATTCATCGACTTTCAATGAGTTTCCTGTTGAATAATATCGCTATTATTAAAATATTCATTTTAAGGTCTGATACATCTTTTGAAGAAAGACCTATATTTTTTTATACACACTCTGTAGACGAGTTATCTGTTCAAATTTTTCTCTATAATTAAAAATACGAATACTATGGACACCAAATTTGTTTAATCGTTTCTATTTGACCTTCAATTTCACATCTACATTTAGACCAACATTTAACTTATTTCATCTTCGGTCGCTCAATTTGCAATGAGTGTTCGCCGGATAAGTAAAAAGTTCAGTGTACAGTCTGTCGAGGCCTCAGAATTGAAAGGTGCAAAGTTTTCACTCTTAGGAGAGTCTACTGAGGCATATGGTAAGTTTTCGCCGTAATAATTGACCATCGGTTTAAATGTGAAATAACTGATTCATCAAAATTTCAGTTGGACTTTGTGTATTAAAATCTTTCTAATATGAGTATGTTATAATAGTTCAACGATATCAAGAAGTTGTACACGGATTCACACATGAATACCTTGATGTATTTTATTTGCTGATCTATTTCTTAGTATTTCGAGATTTAGATTTTTTAGGACAGATCATAAATGAAAATTAGTCATAATCCAACTTATTTTATGTCATTCGGGTCTTTTTGTCGTTTCAATGTGGAGTGAAATGATTACGAAATTTGCTTGCTTAACGGTATGAGGGTTGAAATAAATTTTTAACACCAGTAAATCGTAACTCGTTATGAGCCCTTTTTTTCAAATAAATTCGGTTCTTTCCACAGCTAAATGAACGCTTGTTGCACCATGCATCCGAGTACAACAGGTTACTTACCATTCGTTTATTCATTAGAAAATTTGGGATTTGAAGAGAGAGAAAGATAACTATTAGATTTTTGGTTTAGAGCAGGTTTTGTTAGATTCTAGACTTATAATTTTACAGTTGCACTAACGGATGACAAAGGTTTATGTGATTGAACTTTGTGGTCAATTGCTTACTAGCTTGTCCTACAAATAATGTTTTCTGGCTATTCGTTTGTATCATCTGTTAAGAATCATGTCGTTCAATGTAAAATGTTACTCATCAATTCTCTGTTTTGGGCTTAAATATTTTTGTTACTAACACTGAAGGGTTAATTAGAAATGGGTTACTCCTGAGAATAACATTATTGCTACAGAATTATTGAACGGTTTCTGTAGATTATTGCTTATGAATACATTTTTTAGACGATTTAATTCTTTTGTTCAAATTATATAATTTTCAACTTTGAAACTTTTATTACCAAGAGATTTCAGGAATTCAAATAAAAACAGTAAAGGACGTTGTATATGTTGAGTATTAAACTAAACTTTAACTTGTAGAATTTTTTTATGATTTAAGATCAATACGAGAAGCTTATTAAATGGTTTAAAAGGTAACGAAAAACCGCCTGAAATTAGAAGTACATAAAATATTTCCGTGTGGTGTTTTTGATTTAGTTGGTTAGTTACAATATGTTTGGTGAGACTATAATTTATGGACGACCTTTGAGCTGTGCTAAAGTGACAGAGTGTTCACCTAATAACTAGAACCGAATGTGAGTTATAGAATAGTGTGAGGAATTAGAATTTTGATTTACGGTTGATGCTTAAGGTTAGGAATTAGATTTAGAGTTTTCACCACGAACTGACATCAGATATAATGCCAAGACTATCTAGCCAAATAGGTAAATAAATTTCGCATCAAAATCCGTGACCTGTTATCTTATACGTGATTGGTGTGTCCATAAATTATAATCTCACTATACGGTCTAGTTTATCATACCCAGAGATTTGCTGTGGATGTTTAAAATTCCCTATCAATATTTTCACAATCCAAAGATACAAGATTTACTGTTTATATGGTTTCGAGATGTATAGTCATATTCAAACGACAGATTTAATTCTTTTTTTAACGGAAAGAGTCATCTTAAATGGTGATCAATAAGTATTATTGAAGATTATTTTACACATAACAAATGGTTGTCTGTTCATGAGATGTTTAATTGTCGTAGATGCATTCATCGAGCTTCTATGTTCTATGCTAGCAAAATTCGCATTTGTCTCAGAGTACCATTTTAAAATGTGATAACATTTTCTAAATCATTTCTAACTATTATTCTATTTTCATTGTCAAAAAATCTCAAAGTAGTTTCCGGGGTCATTTGAAGATCATTATGCTACGTATCAGAATTTTAAGCTTAGTTTTGTGTTAAACTAGGTGAAACTGATCGTAGTCATGTAATCATCGGGGTAAATTTGTCCGAAAAACTCCTAATCAAAATGTTTACGGCTATATTTGGAGATAGGTTTACAAAAATCGGCTAAAAGTACATCTGTGTATAATTTCGTCTAACTAACTGGGATGTTGTACACTCTATGCTACTTGATTGTTCAATTTTATTTTCTAACAAATATCATATTTCTTCAAAATTAGCTGGGATCCCGACGGAAGTTGTTGATGAGGATATCGAAGCTGAAGATGAAGACAATACACAACTCAATCTTTTCGAGGTAATACAGTGTATTTCTATGATCAACATGATTCTGTTTGCCATGATAACTATATCTTGTTTCACTTACTAGTCATTTATTACCATTACCTCTTCCAATTTCACGTTTTGACTACTTTAGGGTTATTTGATTATGATCTGAAGAAATCACTGAAATTAGTAATAAATAGTTGATTTCAAAGTTCATCCCTATGATTGAGAACTTATTTTAAGTGTTGTAAAGATATCCATTTTTTGAACATTTCTGCCCTCAAATGGATTTGCAAAGTGAGTGTTTCATGTTCATAAGCATTCTATGTCTCTCATAACGTTTTTGGAAGTCATCTTAGTAGGATTTTGATTACTTTAGAAATATGTTGGTGATCTACTATTTTCATATTCTCTGACATATAACTATTTCTTGTATGGTCTAAGATGGAACATGAAATAAATGTCTCTATGAACTAAAATACTTTGCAGGGAAAATTTTTTAAGTGTCCTATTGTTCCTTATTTTTAAACCACTTTGGTTTTTGTCTGTTGTAGGAAGATGATAAGACATTGCCTCCGATGAGTAACTGGTTTGGTAAGCTGGCAGCTTACACTGGTGGAATAGAGCCAACTGTAGGTGAAACTAAACAACTGAAAGAAAAACAAACAAAGTCAAGTGATGTAAGTTGATTTTTTAGTGTTTTATAATCAGCACCGATTCATATTTTTATTTTCCGTACTTCTGCTGAGCCTTTTTATAAAATCAGGTTGCCAAAGCTTTATTTACTAGTAAACATTAAATATGAAGTTTAATGGCTTCTTTGCCGCTGTTAGCTACTTCAATTGCACATTGAAATACCCCATTCAGTCGTCAGTTTGTAATTGAGAGTTGAACATGTGCTTTTACAGAGAACAGCGGTTGCTTGGATCCCACACAGAAATGTTTTTTCTATATGTGAGTCACGAGAACTATATCCAGGTATCTTTTAATGTTGGGGTGTATACTGCAATAGATGAGACTGAAAGCTGAAACTGTAATCCAATTAAAATGTAAAGCATGAGATAACTGTGATAAATCATACAGTCTCATAAATATGCATCGCTCCAGGGAGTTAATTCATATGTTGAGGGTTTTGCAGTTGCGTAAAAGTATTGAGGCTAGGGAATAATAGAACCATATAAACATTTACTGGTGATAGATTACGTACAAATATATCTGATATTTATCTGATTGAAAATAGTTGACACATTATTTTCTATCACAACTCACATCTACTTTCTCTGTTTTTTTTCTATCATTTGTTACTTATTCCAAAATATCTATCTTCACTTTGACCATGTTTTTTTTTCACTACGATTAGTATCCCGTCATGAATCCGTTAAGTCAAGTTTTTCTGACATAACCGTTTTTTTTGTACAAATGTAAAAGTGAGGGCCTCAGAGAGTTGTATTTGTAGTGAAGTTTTAGTACAAGCCTGTAGTACGGAATTAGATTCTCAATCGCATTTCCAACGATTTAGTTATAGGCCAAAATCATACATACTTAACATTGACTTATGGGATCCAATTTATTTCAGCCATTCGCTATTTTATTGACTGCAAAGTCATGTAATCTCAATTATTTGCACTCTGGACTAAACCATTGAGTGGCTGTTAAGCTGTGGGCTCTTTGAACCAATAAATCAACATTAATCACCGACAGAAAGCAACAATTGTATTGTTTGTGTTCGCTAAAGTCCAATTTTAGATGTCATTACATAGGCATTCATTTGTGACAGGGTTGTTATATAGTGAATGCTTCCATATCCTTGAGAAGACAAAATTTCTATGGTTTATGGATTGACCTTATTAAGTTATGTTTGCAAATGTAAAAACAAGACTCAGGGATTTGTTTTTACTCCTATCAACATTTTATAAAAAAGCTCAGCCATTCAAGATGTTTCTTTATATAGCGTTTGCAATAATTACTCTGCTTTTGTGCTTTCATCTTGAACAAACATAAAACTCTAGTGACTTTTTGTATGACCGATAGACCTGTTCCGTTCAGCTCAATACATAACACTTTCTTTCCTTTTAACATTACCGAAGTACAGAATATTTTGATTACCTTATCGATTTTTGGTATATATCTTTTATTTTTTGTTTCGTAAAGAACAAACGTTTGGGGACTATATTGGGTGTTTTTCTACCATGCTGTCAAAATATATTCGGCATCCTATTATTTGTTCGAGTTGGATGGATAACAGGCGTGGCAGGCGCGTTTCAAACGTTCCTGATAGTACTTCTGTGCTGTAGTTGCGTAAGTTCTATCTTTTAATGCAGTTTAAATGGTGTCACAATTTAGTTGAACTTGATCAATTGATAAATGTACTTAAGGAACCTAGTATGTTTACCTCACACATGTATTACCTAATGGTACTAGTAAATTCATTTCAAACTCCTTGCACCAGATTTCGGTAAATATACTGTTTTGAACTAGTTGGTATATCTCTACCAGAAGCCCGCACAATAGATAGGTTCTATTTAATGCCTATTAGTATCTTTGATAAATTCTCACCCTTTCATAGTTTTCATTGATTAGAATTCATTCTTGAGTCGATTTAATGTCTGTTAGAAGCGCTAGGTAACCTGGATATGATATAAGTGGTCATAAGTAAATCGGGGCATATATCACGTTGAAGAAACTACCTGCAGTGAATATTGATAGATACCAATTTAAAAGAAAAACAGGTTTGGGTGTTTATAACTGTATGTTTATTATCATATTTTTTTAATATTCTATTACGATTTTGTTTTTGCAAAGAGTAGTCCATCACAGTAACAATGGAACATGGAATTTAGATTTTTTATAAATAATTACTACTATGTATTTTATAAAGTTTTGTTTAGCTACACACTATTTTATGATATTACTGTTCATTGATATGTGACAAAAATATCTATGGTTAAATAAATTAATCCTTCGTTGTTAGGATTTACTATAGGGTATTAAATCCAACGTTGACTATTTATTCTTATGGCATCAATTATCAGTTTATTCATCGCTACCATACTATTTCTCTCTAAAATATTTCTCTATTACAGTTCAAATAATCACTTTACTTTAATACCTTTCTTTTTTACAATTACCTCACAATTTCTATTTATTTATCGTTATCGAGGAAAAAATGTGGCTCTCTAAGTAAAAATTTACATCCAACAAAAAGTTGAGCATAGTTACTCCTTATGTTCCTGTTCAGCAATCTTTCTTTTTTGAAGAAAGAATCCTTTTATACCACCACTCTATTTAAGTGTTTTCCCTTTATACTTATGCCATGATCTTTTTCCGTTGTAAACTTTTTATTTGTATAAAATTTTGTTAAGGAAACAAATACAAATGAGGTTGTTCAAATTTTTTATTGCGAAGAGAGAAACAAAACGAGAATGCACTGAAATTGCGCTCAAGTTATTTAGAGATTACACTGATAATTAGTGACTCTCAAAGTCTTGTTACTTAGTATCTCTATGTTTTGTTCTCCTTTGCAAAGTCTTTTGAAGTTTTCACTAAGGATTATCATCAAAGTCTATACCAACAGCTTTAAGAAATGTGTAGATAAATAGGGATACAATTTTATATACAAGTTATATATGTCCTTACGAATTAAGTTTAAAATACTTTATGTTATTTTCACATGATTCTTTACTCCTTCCTTAAGTCTTCATAAGCTCTTTTTTATTCTTAACGGTCAATTTCTCATTTGTTTCTTCTCTTTTCTGTCTTAACCTTTTTCAGATCTCTTTCTATAAAATAGTGGCATATGCGTTTTTATTTAATTTAAATTCAAGTATTTCAAACTGTTGTTGTTGATTCGTCTTTGTTCCATATTTTTGTTGCTAAAATTTCATGATAACGTTTTCTTATTTATTTGATCAGCCTAACCTTTTTTGTTTGAGTTTTATGCATGAAATGAGGCGAGCGAAAGTTTTAATTTGATCAATAGTTATTATAACACTGATGTCTAGTTATACAAGGCAGTATTGATCATTAGGATAACTATCAATCAAAAGACATCATATCCTTTCCTCATCCATTAATCAAGAGAGAAAGTATTTGATTAGAAATAACCATACATATAACGTAGGACCTGGAACATGGGTACATCTGTTCGATTTACCTTACCCATTAGCACAGCGAAATGAGATTTTCAGGTCAGTGGTAGCGGTAGTAGTATAAATAGTAGTGATAAGAGAGATTAGACATCGAAGATATAACCTGAGAGGAAAATATAAATCATCGAAATGATGGCTTTTATTTTTCAGGTACTATCAAACGATATTTGAAAAATAAAAGTAAAAATTATGCGACTAGAATCGTATTTTAATTTAGACAATACGTGTTGACACGAAATATGATTAATTAAAAACTACTAAAGTGGAATGTCGCTCGTGTTACAGTGTTTTTACTCTGTCTTTTCATTGTTATATCGAAGTGTTTATACTATTGAGCCGCATATTACTAGCAACGATCAGTAAGATAACACGGAAGCTAATATACCAATATCTTTAAATTAAACCAAGTAACTTTATACGTATTTTTCAAAGACTGATGGTACAATAGTTTTTAAATGCTTAAAATATTAAAACTTTTCAAGGTATAAATTAGAATAACCAATGTGAGTTAACAATATTGTTTATAACTAGGTCTTAGACATTCCCTACCCTAGTATACAATAATATTATTATGCATATGTAGAAAATATTAGGAACAGTCACGATAACTCATAGGTCAATGTGCTTCGTATTTATTATGATTAGCTATGTACTGTATGTCATTGTTATCATTGACTCACAAATTCCCTTGATTAGTTTAATACTTTTCTCATATGCATAAAAAATATAATTGTTTTACGTAGAGTTCTAACATAGGAAACTGTAAGTGGCTTATTCAATAAAATTATGGGATGAATACTGATTTCCACATTTAACGATGGAGTCTCGTCAACTAAATAATTATTAACTAATAAGTAGTATAAACCACTAGTTCTCCTTTCATTGACTTTTGATCTGTCTTCTGATTACCCTTTTTCTACGTTGTGTCTTTATTTAAGCAACCTTCAACAAATGCTGTGACTTTGGTTCGCTTTCTTTTCACTATTGAATGTGTTCTGTCAGTAGGCTTTCAACACCTATTTTAGAATAAACCTGAATTTTTTTTAAAATTTTACTTTGTGTTTCACTAGGGAAAAAAACAAATTTTCATGAGTCTTAACGTACCGTTTAATCAGATGCACTTCAAGAGAGCTTGATTAAATACGTAGCCATAAAATATTTACTGAATGCAGATTTTTCAAAAAAATTACTTTTGAATTTGAGGATGTGCTTGAATCGAAATGTTTACATTGAAAAATCAAGTTAGATGGGAAGGAATATTGATTGTATGATTTGTTGATTTCTTAAACTGTATTCAGCGACATGAAAATAGATCCATATCTGTTAATAAATGTATTGCTGTGAGTTAATCATAGGTTTCTAGCTTTTTGTGATGACATGATACATTATCGTCATAATGGGAGAAACTAAAAAAATACGATAAGTTTCAACTTATTTATAAACAGGTTGAAGTCACTGACAGAATCGACATGGTCTTACAGAAAATCGCTCTTCGTATCGGTTAAAATACTGTAGATTTTAATTCCATCTCAAATAGCAGTTTTACGTTGTATTTAGCGAGTGCGTTACTTCGTTTACGCGTTAATGTATTCGTGCGATAGTGTGTGTCGTGAACCCGCAAAACAACTATTTATCACCTAGCTATTATTAATAATTACTGTTGACTTTTGCAGAGCTAATGGTGTTTTGCATACAAAAGTCTGTTCACATTAGCGTTACTGGAAATAATTTCTTTGGTAAACAAAGCAACGAGAAGCAAAATAAACGTTTTTAAACAAACACAATCCTTTCCTCTAACTAGACTGAACTGGATAACAAATTATTATCAATAAACAATAGCCTAACTTTTTACTTTTGAATATTTTTTGAGAAAAATTCTGTTGCGAAGTCAATCACGTATCGCCTTGAGTTAGAACTACGATTATAAATAATAACTCAAGGCTACGTTTATATTTTGAACATAAAGATATGAATATATTTTGTAGCCGAAGATAGCTATTGGAGGAACAAAAGTTAAAGCGATATGATAAAAATTGATTCTCGATACAAACCAGAATATAATATACAGTCGACCCCTGAACACCACAGTTTATATCTATTCTCCTTCAAGATACTAATGTCCATTAAGGATCTTATTATTCTGCTTTCGCCTACTGATATTCTCCACAGTATTATCATGTTTTTAATCTATTTCACCTTAGGTAAAAGGAATGGACAATGAGAAATTTATTCAAATTCCGTCTATGGTTGTAATTAAAACCAATAGCTTATATTAAAAGCGAACAACAGTCGTGTTTAATAACTAAATAGGATTTCTATCATAGGATATATCGATTAATTTTATTATACTTTGACTTAATTAACTACGAAATAGTCTGTTTATTCAAGTTTAGTATCGACAATAAATAAGTTACGACAAGGTTGTGTAAAATATTTAATCAGGTTAGTTAAGTGAAATTTCTATTCGTCTAACTTTATATATTCACAACTGTGCATAATGTTAAACATCATTGTATTAGTCTCGTGCTTATTTATCAATACCAATCTTCTTATAGAATAAACTTTTACCATATGTCAACAAAAACTGGAATTTTCTTTAGTAATTTTAATAATTATGTCATTATTACATTTTTATGGATGTTTATAAACTTCAACTCAGTCATATTGTGCCAATTATAAGATATATATATATAGCAGGTCTAATCCAAAAATGGGTCAAGTGTGCAGAAATTTTAATACTAAAAAAAATCGTGAATTCAATTCAGTTTTATTTTTACTAGTTTTACAGCTAGAGTAAGAAACATGAAAACTTTGCATGCATATTAATCTATACAATTCAATCTAATGGACTTCATATATATATATATATATATATATATATATATATATATATATATATATCAGTCCCCAAAAGTAGCTAACTCATTTGTTTTGATTCAGCGCTGGATGTTTTACTTTTCATTTCTCTGTGAAATATCTCTTAAATCTGTCCTTCTTGTTTGATAGTTTTTTGTTTTTAATAAATCTTCACCTTATAAATCTTTTTTTTCAGAGAATACTTTTATTCATGAAGAATTTTCAGTCTACTTTAATGTAACGTACAATAAGCATTTAAACTTTCAAAAAGTGTTTCTTATTAGAGGGAGAGTT